ACGTGTAAATAAATATTTTTCATTCTGATGAAGGCTCGAAGCAACGAGTCGAAAGCTCAATAAAAATCATTAAAAATCCGGAGAAACAGTTATCTTTTATGTATTCAATGCCTGGATTACAAATTTTCAAACTTATATCTTCTTTTGTATTATCTGAATTGACACCAACCAACAATAGTTCAAGTAGCTTTTCTTGTTTTGTAAGTTCACAATGTCACTCGTCTTCCGGGTGCAGTCTGGTATTTACAAACTGAAGCACCTCAATGTATATGTCAGCACCATTATGATTAGAACGCCTTAAAGGATTAATGGTTCTTTGCAGCTCATCAAGATCTATTTCATTCAATGGAATGCTGCTTTCTGGAACAATCACTTGCTGCTGATCTGTTTCATGACATGCGTAATTTTGTGTAAAGGTGGATGGAAATTCTTGGTTTACCTTAGTGAATTGGAGCATTAAATTAGATTTTGACTTTAACATACATCAATTAGCTTTGGATCCAGTCTGATGATTATATTGTAAAGTGTAGTCTAAAAGTAAAGTCATTAGTTATTGCATAAAAATACCTGGTGTATATGGTCATTTGAATTATTGGCTAAGCATGATCCTTGGATCCATAGCTGTTCAGGTGATAGATTTTTTCTGTTCTTATGGGAGATCTATTGTAACCTTCCTAAAAAATTTCCAATTTCTGTTAATAATTGGACAAAACACATAATGCAATGAAAACACATGTTCTTCATTTGATGGATCCAATATTCCATTACTTTCCATATGACAGAATAAATGATAAAAAAGACTAGTACAACCAACAAAAAGATCTCGCCAAAAGCACTCAATCTGTTGGTTGTGCACACTTCTTCCGGTAATGACTGCTACAACAGGGTCCTTGCAAATGGTGGTTTAACATAAATCGAGCAATACCAACATTTTCACTTCCTTTATCTGTTCTTACTCTGGATGGCAGTCCATATTGAGATACACCCGATAGAAACAGATTTAGAACAGTATCAGCTCGATTGTTTGTGTTACAGCGAATAAATACCAGCAAACGTGAATAGCTGTCCATTCCTGCATGAGTCACAAATCTCCACCTAAAAATATGAAACTACTAGCACATTTGTATGCAAAACTGAGTTTTATTAACGCCCCAAAATAGGTATTTTTTAGTAGCCCACCTAATCAATTTGTGATTGCCATCAACATGCCAAAGTGATAAAGGGCTAGTAACATGATATTTACGTCTGTGCACTGCTCTAAGAGACAAAACACGAAACAATGTACACTGTGGATCAACTCTTCGCATCATTTCACGAATCCTGTCCTGCTGAATTCCCAAACCTCTTGCTAACAGCAATCCTGACATACGTTTGTAGCCAAGATTGGGAAACTCGTTCGTTAAGTTTCTTATGACCAACTCGAGATCCGAATCGTTAACGTCAGAAAAACAATTAGAAACTGATAAACCAAACTCGTTCATCCTCCTTTCAATGGTTCTTTTGCTGACTCCCAGAAGATTTGCCGTATCTTTCATTGTAAAACGCTTATCCAAAAAATAACGCAGAATATTTTCGTTTACTTCATACATTGGTCGCCCTGGTGTGCCACTGAAAACTTGAGGGCAGTTCAATGAAGAAGAAGGTTAATATCATGATGAACATCGACATTTAAAAGTTCTTTTGCGTTTGAGATTAACTGCAGAACAGCCTCTTCAAGCTCGAATACTTCAGCAAATCGCAACGTTGTATGGTAAAGAGAATCAATACAAAAAACGCAAGAATCCCGATCTGGACTTCCTTCGAGGTCAGCAATACAACCCAAAATAAAGTTGCGAAGGAGTCTTACAAAATATAACCTGTCTGCCATGTTTTAGGGTTGTAGACTTGTACGTAAAACAATTGGTTTATTTTGTTTTCATTATTACTGCGCAAAATGCGCATTAGTAATTGAAAATATAGCTATTAATTTTGGGGGAGATCACCTTCCACAAGTGGAAGCCAGTCAATTGCTTGTTTTTGACGAATAGGAAGGATGAAATGCCTAACAGCAGCCAGTTGCACACGAATTGGACCTACTGTATATTTCTGTTCACACTCCTATACTGTGATATAGATGTCATTAATGATTCATAATACTGTTTGTTGAAGTAGATCCTGACTCATTTTTCATCTTCGCTCGTTATTTTAATATGTTTATGTAACAAAACTCACGTGGATAAAAAAATAATGTTATAATAAGGCATGAACTATAATCACCATTTCTTAGCTGATATGTATGTGGTCGCGTTGTTTATATTAAATCTCTCATCCGTTTGTTGAGAATGTGACATGTAAAGAACTAAAGCAAGCATGATTTTGTTCACATGGTCGTCTTACTTCTAAAACGGAAGTAATTTTAGAAAAATTAAGCGATATTTTAGAACTACATTACAGACATAACAAATTAGCTAAAGCAGCATCTCGATAAAGTATGACTAAACATGCATGAGAAATCATATCTAAATCGATAAACCAGTTTTCTAACTATTGGCAACAAGCTGCATGCTAAAGGAAAGCAAAACCTGTTCAAAGGTATGGGGAAGGTGAAATAGCATACTTGTCTATGGAAAAAATGAAATCTATGAAAATTTATTTAGGGGGGATAGCATGTCCAATCATGCATCACCTCCCGTTTTTGCCGACTCCACTTTTGACTAATCGCTGTGTGTTTGACAAAATGTTGTTAATTGTATTGAGCAAACTTTTCATTTTAAAAGTAAGAACATTTGAAAAATAAGCAAATGTTGAACACAGGAAGAATGTATTTACACAGAGAAAGAACGCAAATGAATCTATTTTTGTGAAATGTTGATTCATGCAGCACAGTGAGCTTTTAAAATTATACTTTTGATCATGTTTGTTTAACTGTTTTAAGATTTACTTCTATTGCATCCTTTACTGTTGTATCTACAGTGTTTTTATTGATCATAAGTAATTATAATTGCGTGCAATTGATGTTTGCCATGTATTCATGATTTACAAAGTTTTATTCAATAACAAAGGTTTTTTATAATACGAACTTACTTCTGCAAGAATATACATGCATGGAATTCTTGATTAATGAAGGGGAAAAATCCATTCACAGTTTCAAAAATCGTGTCTTAAACCTCGGCATTCAAATCCTGTCTTAGATAGGTCATTCTCTATTCCTGAGTTAAAACTTGTGAAACTTTATAAGATTTAGCCGTAGTTCTTTGGAATTTGACTAATCTCAATGTTATTATGTACTCCGCATGAGGTTCTTATTTATGTATTTTTATTTCTATAACAATTGTTTTTAGTCAGTGATGTATACTTAGTTATTTATAACTAGAATGTTCAACACATAGATGTCATTAATGTTTTATAATACTGTTTGTTAAAGCAGATCCTGACACACTCTTCATCTTCGTTTGCTATTTAAATGTGTTTGTGTAACAAAACTTACATAGATAAAAGATTGATGTTACAATAAGGTATGAATTATGATCACCATTGTCAAACTGATATGTATGTAGTTGCGTTCTTTATATTAAATCTCTCATCTTTGTAAGGTATGTGACATGTAAAGAACTAAAGCACGCATAATTTTGTATACACAGTCGTCATATATGAAGTATTATTTCTAAATCGTAGGTAATTTGTCGAAAGTAAAGCGAGATTCTGAAACTATATTACTAACTTTACATAACGAATGTGCTACTGAAGCATCTTGATAATGTATGACTAAACATTCAAGAGAAATTATATGTAAGTTGATACACCAACTTTTAACTATTGACATTAAGCTGCATGGTAAGGACAGTAAAATCTGTTCAAAAATATGGGAGACAAAATAACATGAGAACGTTTTCTACATGTAGGACGCTGAATTTTTCTTTATGAACTATACTTGTCTATGGAAAAAGAGGCATCTGTAAAATGTATGTAGGGATGGCATGTCCAATCATGCATCACCTTCTTTGCTGCCACTTTTGACTAATCTCTGTGTGTCTAGCAAAATGTTGATAGTTGTATACAACAAACCATTTCTTTTAAAAGTAAGAACATTTGTAAAATAAAAAATGTTGAACACAGGAAGAATTTATTTACACAGAGAAAGAACGTAACCGAATCCATTTTTGTGAAATGTTACATGTTTGTTTAACAGTTTTAAGGTTTACTTTCATTGCAACCTTTACTGTTGTATCTACAGTGTCTTTATTGATCATAAGTAATTATAATTGCGTGCAGTTGATGTTTGACATGTATTCATAATTTACAATGGTTTATTCAATAACAAAGGTTTTTTATAATAAGAACTGACTTATGCAAGAACATACATGTATGGAATTCTTGATTAATAAAGGGGGAAAATCCATTCACAGTTTCAAAAATCGTGTCTTAATCATTGGCATTCAAATCCTGTCTTAGAATGGGGAAGAAGAATAACATGATTGTATTTTCTACATGTAGGACGCTGAATTTTTCTTTATAAACAATACTTGTTTATGGAAAAGTGATACTATTGATCTTATGTTAGTTTAACAGTACCAAGGTTTACTGTCATTGCATCCTTTACTGTTATATGTATAGTGTTTTTATTGATCATCAGTATTTACAATTGCATACAGTTGATAATTAAAATGTATTGATGATTTACAATGGGCTATTCAATAACAAAGGTCTTTTTATAATATGAACTGACTTTTGATTAACGAAGTGAAAAAATCCATTTAAAGTTTCAAAAATTGTGTCTTAATCATTCACATTCAAATCCTACTTTAGATAGGTTATTCTCTATTCCTGAGTTAAAATTTGTGAAACTTCATAAGATTTAGCAGTACTCCTTTGGAATTCGACATATCTCAATGTTATAATGTATTCTGCATGAGGTTCTTATTTATGTATTTTTATTTCTATAACAATTGTTTTTAGTCAGTGATGTATACTTAGTTATATAACTAAAATTTCTACATAGATGTCACTAATGTTTTATAATAATGTTTGTTGAAGGAGATCCTGACTCACTCTTCTTCTTCGTTCGCTTTTTAAAAGTGTTTATGTGACAAAACTCATATAGATAAAAAGTTGATGCTCAATAATGTATGAATTATGATCACTTTTTTTAACTGATATCTATGTAATCACGTTTTGTATATTTAATTTCTAATCTTTTGTTAGGTACGTGACATGTAAAGAACTAAAGCAAGCATTATTTTGTCTACACAATCGTCGTATATGAAGTGTTATTTCTAAAACAAAGGTAATTTTACGTATGTTAGCCAAGATTTTGTATTTACATTTCTAACTTAACAAATTTGATACCAAAGCATTGCGTAGTATGAAGTATGACTATAAACAAATCAATGTTTATTTCCTTTCCAAATGAAAATCGTTTGAATGATTCTATAAGTGACTTTTACAGCTGTATTTAATACCACGACTGGAAAGTAGATTTCATTTTTTGTTTCATATTATCCACTATAAAAATTGCGGCTCTTACACGAAGAAAAGGTTTGATAATAAATGATTCTGAGTCAGTGATGCGCTTGACATTCACAGATACCACGTCATAATGTGACATTTTTTTTAAATATAATTAAACCTAAGTAAACAGTACAATGTACAAATGTAAAGTAAAGATTAGGTTCCATGGGTCAAAATGAACTCATGATAACGTATATATTTCATCATCATTCATTTTGCACGTAATTTATTCTTAGATGAACATTGATTTAGCATGTACACTGAGAAACTGAAATCAAGATACTTGTTTTGTTTTGAAACGTGTTGAATTAAATCGTGTGACAACACAAAGTCGAGAAATTTCACTGACTGTCGAGCCAGGCCCGCAGTGAGGTGATAGGCAAGGGGGCATTTTGCCTACGGCCAGTAATAAAATAGGGGCCGGCGCCCCCATTTGGACACATGAAAATTGCAAAATTAAAGTTTATAGAAAAAGTAGTGAATGATTTGTGAATTATTTGTACTTTTTTTACGTTATCTCATCATGCAGAAGACATTCATCAATTGTTAAATTTTTAGAAATTCTCGTAGCATCTTCAAACGGAATCACGCTTTAAGTGTCATCAATATCAGCAGGCATGTGGCTAGGTTGTAAAATTTGGGGGAGCAACAACATTTTTTGGGGGGGGGAACTGTTGTAGACGTCAAGTTATACTGTAATATAACAAGAATATAATTTATCACTAGCTAACCACAATGCCATACTAAAAAAGTGTCTGAGTGAGGCAGTGAGGCAGGCAGTGTTTGTTCGTTGTGATATCCTCGGCTGTGACATCGGTGATAGTTGCATATGTGAACGATCACGAATAGAATTGTAAAGTCGATATTTATGTTGTTCTTTAGTTACCTATGCTTTCGAGCGTATAATCTGCACTTTGTTTCAGTGACTATAGTCAAAACCTTGCAGCTGAAAATATCAATTTATTTATACGCTTTACTGGTGATTACAGACGTCAAATAAATGTCGTTTGGGGTAAAAAATACAAGAAACTTGATACTCCGTGCTGTACGTACTTTTATTTTGTTCTGTATTTTATTCATATGTCGCGTTGTTTATCTCTCACCCTGTGTTCTGTGTTTTGGTGAGGAAAATATAAAGCAGAAAGGAGATAGTTTTCTTTATTTTCATTTCAATTAGTAATGATGACGATTTGGATTTAATAGATAGTCAAAAATGACGAAGAATTTAAATATATGATTAGAGTCAAGCTATGGTCCTATGAGGGACTAATGCAGTTTAGGGGACACCTTGGACGCTGACCCAAATCCTACCCTATAATTCCTAGCAAAAACGAGCCAGCAGTTACAAGCGCTTCCGGTATCCGCTAGACTGCAGTCTAGCAAAAATATAAATTGGAACAGAATCATCAGCAATATAGTCCTATCAAAATGTTAATAAGCAAATATTCATACAACACAGCAAACCAGTTAGATATGTCCTGTTAAAAGAATGACGTATCTCTTCACCATACGATTGTTAAACAAATAAGATATATTATTTATTTACTAGGAGTTACTATCCCAAGGTATATGATGCCTCTCGCGCCTAGTAGGCGAAAATATTATTATTTTAAGTGTTTTTCATTGTATGAAGTCTACTATTTTTATTCCTTGATGTAAGATCAATTACTGGGTCATGCCACTAGGCAGTGAACACAATTTTTATCGAGAGAAAGAAATGAAGTGCACAAGTCTTTATAAATGACTTGTAGTACTATTTTTAATTTATCCTTTTGACTTTTGTGAGCATTTTGTAAATTTTAATTTGTACCTTTTTTTACAAACTCATTCCTTATTTCTAGAATAAAAAATGGCTTCGCCACCTAAAAAATTAAAATTTGAAGAAAATGGATCTCGTTTAAGTAAACTTTTGATAAATAAAGGAACCCAAGCCTTAAAAACAACATTGCAACTACATTTTAACAATATATCATCAAGTTTTATCAATGAACTTAATGATTTTTCTACAATGAACAACTTGACTTTACTAAAAAAGAAAAAAGTCATCAATAAAGAGCAATGGGATCTTCTTTATCCAAAACGTGGTTCACCAGACATTGAAAACTTTGATATTTCATTATTGACTGTCTTATTGCGTAACATATGTGGTCTAACAGCGCCACATGGTGGATGGGATAATCTTCCTTCCTCTTCAGATACTTCAATCTCAGCAAACATTGCAAGAATAAAATTTTATCGAAACAAAGTGTACGGTCACGTAACCACAACTAGTTTAAATGACAGTGAGTTTGAGTACTTGTGGCAGGAAACTTCAAAAGCATTGGTTGGTCTGGGTATTCAACAAACTGAAATAGATGAATTAAAGAAAGCTTCCCTCACTACCGATGAGGCAATTTATATTGAAATGTTAAAAGAATGGTATAAAAAAGAAAAGCAGTTAATCGATGTTACTGAAGAAATCAAAGAAGATGTAAAAGTAATGAATAGAAATGTTTTGGACATTGCAACAAACGTTACGAACATAAGTGAGGATATAAAGAAAACAAAAGCTGATGTAGTAGGAGTAAAAAAAATGTTACAGGACAAAACATATTTAGTTGTCGAAAAGCTTGGAAAGTGTAAGTTTGATGGTCTTACAAAGGATCTTAACAAGAAATACCTTGAAGGCACTAGACAATGGTTATTTGAGAAACTCGACACTTGGTTTAACGATGAAAGTGAAGATGCTTCTAATATCATGATTTTGATTGCTGGTCCTGGCGTTGGTAAAAGTGTGTTTGCTGCTGAGGTGTGTCGACGATATTCTGAAAAGAAGAAACTTGCTGCTTCTCATTTCTGCAGATATAATATATCAAATTATAGAAATCCTCAAATATTGATAGAATCATTGGCTAGTAGCATGTGTGATACAATATCAAATTTTAAAAGTAAACTGAATGAAGAATTACAGAGAAAGCATTAGAATCAGTCACCGATGTTTTCATTGTTTTATTAAATAATCCATTGCATTCATTGGAAGATCATGAACCAATGCTTTTGGTTATTGATGCCTTAGATGAAAGTCAAGTTGACGGCAAAAGTGAATTGTTGGAATTGATTAAAGAGGAATTTGGCCAACTACCTAAATGGATTAAAATCTTCATCACCAGTCGTCCAGAACTTCCTGTTCAAAAGGAGTTGAAAGACATGAATCCTGTTGAAATTACAACTCATCCTCGTGATGAAAACAATGAAAAAGACCTGCACAAGTATTTGAGACATCAGTTGAATGATCATGTGCGGAGAAAACCCTACGTTCTTCAGTCATTAGTTGAAAAATGTGAAGGATCGTTTCTTTACGCTTATCACGCACAACTGAGCTTAAAGAAAGAAGAAATTGAGCTTACTTACGAAAAAATTCACAATTGGTCCCTACTGGGTTAAGCGGTGTTTACACAAAGCAATTCAAAAGAGTAAAAGAATTGTTAACGAAGAAAAGTACCAGAAATTCTGTTATCTCAGAAACTACTTTTATGCAATTTCTTGAATTGTTGGCTGCCTGTTGGGAGGTTTTACCATTAACTTTACTGCTTAGCTATTTAGGTTTTTCTGGTGACATCAAGTTTGAAGTCCGCAGTAAAATCATTGAACTGTTATCTCAAATTTTGCCAGTTTACGATGATTGTTTAACCGTGTATCACAAGTCTCTAATTGATTGGTTGAAATCAGATGGTTACGAACAGCATGAGTTTACAGTTAATCCAAAAAATGGTCATAAGTTCTTATGGCATGCTTGTGAGAAAGTGTTTAAACACATCAAGTCGATGAACATTTTAAAGATCAGATGAACACTGCTATGATTAAATATGCTTTGAAGAATGGAGTCCATCATATGTCAAAATGTGGCGAAAATGTTGACTTTAGCTGGGCAGTAGATGTCAAAGTGGTTTGTGCAAGGTTAATGGGTGTGGAAGATATTAACGTGAGTACCATTAAATTCGAATTGCTTGAAATCATTAAGGAACGACGTACTTTCTGGAAAAAAGATGTACTTGAGGAACAACTATTTCATTTGTCACTGACAATGAGATATGGGTCATATAAGTTTGATAATAGCTTAATTTATTTACAAATTATTGCAAACAGAATTCATGGCAGTAACGAAAAAGATTATTGGCAAGGGATTTATTGAAAAAGGAAAGTTTGTTTGGTTTGAGGATTTAGACTCAACATATTTAACAAACCATCATCATTTGACTGTCTCCTTGCGTGCTAACGTTACATCTCTTTGTGTGTCGTCAAATGAAGAACTTCTTGCTGTAGGATATGAAAATGGTCAAATATCTATTTTTGAACTTCCTGAATTTACAGAACGATGCACTCTTGGCACTGCACTCGATGATTTAAGGTTGGATAAGTGGGATGATATAAACACATTTATCTCCAGGAATAACATCTATGACTATCCAACATTGATGAAATTTAGTTTTGTAAGTGGTAACATCTTTTGTTGCTCCTTTTCACCTACCGGAAGTAGACTGGTGACTAGTAATGGATCTACTGAAGTAAAGTTGTGGGACGTTAACAATGGACGTTTGTTATCTTGTTTACAGTCAGATGATGTCGTTAATCGTTGCTCTTTCTTAGATTCTGGTTTGTTTATTACAGCAGAATATGATGGAAGTTGTTCTAACGATGTGTTGATTACAGCAAAATATTTAAATCAATAGTGTTCACTGCATGGAATTCATTAACTTTGCAAAAATTGATCGACGCTGCGTTGTTGATTACCAAAAC